AGTACAATATCTAAGAATAAATAAATCTGAAGGACAATATCTAAGAATAAATGAACCTGAAGGACAATATCTAAAAATAAATGAACCTGAAGGACAATATCTAAGAATAAATGAACCTGAAGGACAATATCGTTTCTAGTTCTCCATTTCATGGTGTGGAGAAGATGCAGGGCCTGCAGGATAGATTCCAGTTGTACTTTGTACTTTGTACTGTTGTTCCCCAAGTACAATCTATGCTTCCTGAAATAAAATTACTTTGTAATTTTTACTGTTGTTTCCCAAGTACAATCTATGCTTCTTGAAATATATGTACATTGTACTTTGTACTTTTGCTTTCCAAATACAATCTTGCAATCAATGCTGTCTGAAAGATATGTGTTTTTTCTTTGTACTAATGTTTCCTGAGCATAAGTATGCAAAGATTTAAGGGTACACTTGTGTATCGGACATACCACTTGGAGAATACTTTTAGTTTGAGTTTTCATGTCTCCTTTACATAGCTGATCATTCATTTTTGGCTTTTCAATTTTTTAATTTGATTGCTGTGAAGATGTTGGCCTGGTACTTGAAATATTTATATACATATATATATATTATATATTATATACAGTGAAACCCTTAATAACGAATACATCGGAAGAATTTATCAAATGTCGTCTTGAAACTTTGTCAATGAGTTTTATACTATATTACGTAATGATATAATGCCTCCCAGAGGAAACATAATGTGATTAGTCAAACCTAGAACTTCGGAACCATCAAAATAATTTATAAAATGTTGTCTTGACAAATTTTCAACGGGGTTTATACTATTATGCCTAAATAGTAATTATAGAAATAGATAACTAGCCATGAAAAATGCGGAAACAGTATTAAAGAGCTTTACAAAATCAATTTTACTTTAAAAGCTAAATATCTGCAGCATTTCATAAAGCAATAGGTTTAGAAGACGACATTTTATAATTTCTTTAGATGCTTCAAAGTTCTGGGTTAAACTGTAAAATATTTGCTTTAAACCAACATAAAAACCGCAAAAGATTGCTGATGTGTCATCTTACTTTTACAGTGCGGCTAGGACAGACTATGGGGGGTGGGGTGAGTGCTGCGACTAGGTAAGGCCAGTATGTTAGATTAGGCAGGGCCTGTGCTCGCTGCTTGGTTTAGTTTGACCAGCCTGTGCTCGCTCCTTGGTTTAGTTTGACCAGCTTGTGCTCGCTGCTTGGTTTAGTTTGACCATCCTGTACTCACAGCTTGGTTTTGTTTGACCAGCCTGTGCTTGCGCTTGGCTTAGTTTGACCAGCCTGTACTTGCAGCTTGGTTTAGTTTGACCGGCCTGTGCCTACTACTTGATTTAGTTTGACCGGTCTTTGCTTACTGCTCGGTTTTTTTGACCAGCCTTAGCTTATATTTCACCTGTGTTGGTATTTTATCCACAACAAAGTTGAACCATTCCCTCACAGAGGCCAGTAGGGCATCCTCAACCTAATTTTAACATAAGATTTATACTCAATTAAAAAAGTTTAAAAAGGATAAATCGATCATTTATATGTAGACCAAGGTTTAAAGGATACCGTTGTTAATCGGGCATTTACGTCAACCTCTATAAATAGATGAGTTCGGTTTTCTCAATTTTTATTCAATTATGCTTTGGTCTATAATTTAACAATCTTAAAAAAAAGGACACTTGTTAATGAACTAAATGAACCTGAAGTGCAATATCAATTAATAAATGAACCTGAAGTACAATATCTAAGAATAAATAAATCTGAAGGACAATATCTAAGAATAAATGAACCTGAAGGACAATATCTAAGAATAAATACACCTGAAGTACAATATCTAAGAATAAATAAATCTGAAGGACAATATCTAAGAATAAATGAACCTGAAGTACAATATCTAAGAATAAATAAATCTGAAGTACAATATCTAAGAATAATTGAACCTGAAGGACAATATCCAACAATAAATGAACCTGAAGGACAATATCTAAGAATAAATAAATCTGAAGGACAATATC